TCTGGAAGTCTGAAGGGAAACTGAAAGGGAACTGCTTTCTGGATTGGTAATGATGGGTTTTATTCACTGTCCAGAACAGTGAAGATGTCTGGAGATGATGTGTTGCAAGTTTAGTAGCAGTGAAATTTTTTTTAGTAGTATACAAAACACTGATATGTCCTTTATGATAATGGTGTCTCAGATCTAATGACAAGTGGGCAGTTTCTCATGACTCTGGTTTCTCCTCTCATGGCAGGCCCTGCCCAGAATGTGGTCCCCACAACACCTCAGACACCGATTCAATAACAAATGACCAGAGAATGCAGAAGACTACCAGAGAGAGAGCAAGAGAGTATTTGGTCTTCCTGGATTTCCCAGGGAGCCCAAGTTTTCCATCACACTGCTGTGGCTGAGTGAGCGCCTAGCTGGTGCGTTCACTGCCTCTCTCCCACTCCATCAGGGTTCTCCTACCAGGGTGGTTTCCACAAACAAGTCTGCCAAGTCTCCTCCTCACCTACACTGGGAACAATTTTCGGAAAGGTCACATATTTACGAGTCACACAAACCGCCCACACAGGTACTGATGCATACGTCCTTTCACGCCCCCAAATGCCAGGCCTGTGAGAGCTGGGGGCACGAGTCTTTGGGAAGCTGAGAAGGGGGCGACTCGCACTTGGCTCCCTCGGCCAGAGTCGCTCACACATGACAGCGAGCACAGGGACTGTCACTCCTCCACCGTGTGAAGGGACTGCATGTGAGAAGCACCAGGAAATCTGGTGAGAAGGAAGACTGCTCCAAGGGCCTCCTCTCCGCCTGCCCTCATGAAGGAGTTTCCCACAGTCCTCCTCTGGTAGGAAGCCTTCACTGCGAGCCCAACTGTGTTTTAACCAGGGGGGGCCAATGGACCCCGTGCACATTTATTCCAGCACAAGCTCCTCTACACCTCTGTGTAGGTCACATCAACAGAGTTCACAAATGTACCCACACAGACTGGTCTCAAAGGCCTGGGTAGCTCAAGCGGACAAAGCAAGTTCCCAGTTCAGGCCACAGCTTGAATATCAAATTATGGTATGAAAAGGCTGAGTGTTTGTGTGGTGAAGGCAACTGAATGCCTGTGAGGCCGAGGCTGAAAGGAAACTCAGCAAGGGAGGATAATGCCTCAGGAAGATGGCTCATGGTGAAGGCAGCAATTTCTCCTCTCTGAAAAGCCTCCTGCCATCTCCACCCCACAGGGTGACCCGCTTCTCTGAGGCCAACTCACTCCTGGCCCCACCGCTGCCAGAGTTTCCATCAGGGGCTCTCCCATCATCAGAGTCCCTGATACTTGCTGGAAGAGCCACTAAAGACTGGGGCAGTCCAGCAGCAGGGGCTAAGGGAAAGGGCTACGGTGACGGACTTTTTTTAAATGGATGTTTTAATTTTAGCTGACATATATTTATTTTAATGTACACTAAAAAAAATACATAGCTAGCACCTGTGCTTCATAGATACAATTACTCAGGAAATGCCTAAGCTAAAAAAATAATTGGTTTCATGTTGATTTTCTTTTTTTTTCCTTTTTTTCTTTTTTTGAGGGTCTCACTATGTTACCCACATGGGCCTCTAACTCCTGTGCTTAAGTGATCCTCCTGCCCCAGTCTCTGGAGTGGTGTGGGCTACAGGCATGTACCACCACCGGGCCTGGCTGATTTTCTTTTTTCTGGGGTACTGGGGATAGATTCCAGGAGTGCTCTACCACTGAGCTACCTTGCTAGCCTGACTTATTCTGAGACAGAGAAAAAACTCTTACTAAGTTGCCCAAGCTGGTCTCAAACTTTCCACCCTCTTTGTCCCAGTCTCCTGAATAGCAAGGATTACAGATGTGTACCACTGTGTACAGCTGATTTTCGTTTCAGACTCAACAGCCCAGGCAAAATCAATCTCTTCATTCTCACTGCCCACAAGGTGCTCCTCTACCAGGACTGCCCAACCCATAAAAGGCACTGCCATTATTCATACACAGCCTTGGCAAATGTCTTGGCTCTTCTCACTCTGCCATGCACCCACACCCAACCCCTCAGTATATCATACCAGCTCCTCCTTCAGAACAGCCAGACCCAGATACTTCCCACCACTCCCTGCCAGCTCCTGGCCAAGGCCCTATCCTCTTTCGCCTGGATGACTAGCAGTCACTCAGCAAGTCCCAGGCTCTTCCACTCTTGCCACTCAAAAGCATGAGGGCTGCTTAGCATGGGCACGACAACACAATGGGTTCAATTCCCACCAGTGCCAAACAAAACAGACAAAAACCAAGAGATCTTTCCCCAATCATAAATCAGACAACATTAGGCCCCTACTCAAAACTACCTAGAAACTTGACATCACATTTGGGGTAGAATCCAAAGGCCATACCAGCACGGCCAGCCTGGGTATGACGGCCCATGCCTATAATCTGAGCACTGGGGGAGGCTGAGACAGGACGACTGCAAATTAGAGCCTGGCCAGGGCGACTCAGTGACTTACTGTCTCAAAATAAAAAATTAAAAGGCAGGGAATGTAGCTTAATCTAAAGGGCCTGATTCGATCCCCAGTGCCAGGAAACAAACAAACAAAAGTAAGAAAAGCAAAACCTTCTGTGTTCTCTACTGTGTGCCCTGGGTGCACACTGCAGGTCCTCACTGACCCTCAAGTGCCTTACACACTGTGCTAGTGCTATGCTCCTCTGCCCACACCAGAAACGCAGGGAGGGTGGATGCCACCCCTCATTCATCTTCATATCCCCAGCCCAGTGGACAGAGCAGCAGCCTTCACAGCCACCTGCTGAACACGGGTATCTGAGCTTCTCTCACATCTGGGTGAGGAAGCCAGGTCACCCTGCCTGGAGTGGACACCCAGACACCTCGTGTGAAGGGATGCCATGTATGGACACCCCTGCCACTCCCTTGCCTGGCATCAAGAGGGCTATGTTTACATTTTTTTTAACTTTTTTTTTTTTTGGTACGGGGATTGAACTAAGGACCTTGCACTTGCAAGAAGCAGGCAGCAGAACCACTGAGCTAAATCCCAGGCCCTTGAGGGCTATGTGTAAAGTATTCTTTCTTTCATAGTCTACACCACCAGACAGGTGACACACTTGCCACTTGGGAGGCAGAGGCAGAAGGATGCCAAGTTCAAGGTCAGCCTGGGCAATTTAGTGAGACCCTGCCTCAGTATTTCAAAAAGGGATACAATATAGCTCAGTGCAAAGGCCCTGAGTTCCACCTCCAAAATCAAAACAAACAAATAAGTCTACCACCACCCAGCAAACACATTCTGGAGCTAGTAAAGTCCATCTTCTAATTCGAAGCCCTCGGGCTTTGACACACCTAGAAGCAATAGAAGCTGACAGCCACCTTGCTCTGCATGACCCAGGTGGTCATTCTCAGTAGGCTAACACAGCTCGAACCATCTACCATTTCTTCCCAGCCCCTCTTTCTCTCAATGCCACAACCAAGCTCGTGTTTCCTGGCTGCTTCCTACAATGGAGACATTGATACCAAGGTCCTGTCCTCTAGGGGGTTTACAGAGCAGAGGGACAGACCTCTCTGCTTCCAGCCTACAACAAACCTTCATAAGCATGCAGCAGTAAAGGGCATCTCTTACTCTTCCATTCCAATGCTGCAAGACTCTCAAAGGCAGAAGGGAACATGTCTGTCCATAAGGCAAGGCCTGTGCTGGACCTGGCTACCAACACTACTCCTATCTCACAAATACTGAGTGCCTAGCACAGTAGTGGTAGGTGCTGGGGACACAATGGTAAGCAGGGGATCACAAGTTCCTGTCTCCGAGGAGTCCCAATTTCTAGTTTAGGGGGCTGAGAAGCCCATAAGCAATTCTGAGTGCTATGACAGGAGAGGAGCCAGAGAACTGGCACCCTAGCCCTAGAAGAGTAAAAGAGGCCAAGGAGTTGACATAGGTGTGTACCTCCGTACAAAAGCACCTCTTGAGGACGTAGGCAGTGCAAGATCAAGATTATGAAGCATCTGGAGTCAATCCTCCCACTCCTGGCTCTCACTTCAGAGAAAGGAAACTGAGGCCAAAGGAGACATAGTGAGTTAGAGTCAGGACCAAAACCCAGGTCACGGCCACTTGTCATTCCTTCAGTGAAGCCCAGAGTTAGTTAAAGGGGTTTCTGGAATGAGACTACCTGGTTTTAATCCTGCCTCTGCCACTTACCAGCTGTGTGGCCTGGGGCAAATGACCGTCTCTCTGTGCCTCAGTTTCCTCATCTGTAAAATAGGAATAACTATAGTATCTATTTCCGGGGCTGTTATGAAAATTAAATACACAAATGTGAAGCAGTACAATGCCCGGGACACAGCGTGCCTTCTACGAGAGGATGCTGTTATCGTTGCAACAAGCGCTCGTGCCCAGGTTGGCGCCGCGTTCCCTTCCGGCTTCAGGACGCTCCCATGACGCGGGACCCCCGCGCCCTGGACCCCCAGGCGTCG